TTATAGTAAATTTATATGTTTTTATTATAATTTTTATTATAATTTGTCACTCGGTGTGACATCTTCCCTGACTGATATGGTCTGAATATTAATATAATTTTTATACTGTACCCGCATGCCACTGGCATGCCACTGTTGGCATGCCTTTGCCACTATGCCAGACACCCTACATGTGACATATCGTCTGACTGTTACTACGCCACTTAACACATGAAATTGTTTACATCTAAAATTCACCAATAAATTTCGTGGCTCCTAGATAATTTTTTTTTTTTTTTTATTAAAGGTCGAACTCCTGCATATCTGATATACAAAATCAAACATGCCAGCTTCTTCCGATATTACTTTTAATGAAGAACTTTACACAACGATATATTATTTCTTAAAAAACGCAAACCATGTTAGAACTGCGGCTGCGTTTAAAAAAGAAGCTGCAAAAGTTTGTATATCTGGAATTCGTATCATTCTATAGAGTTATGACAAGTATTTTATTTTTTTACTCTTCTTCGTGTAGTTGATAAAGGACAAAGAAACCGAGTATGACCTGAGAAAAATTTTCCGAGATTTTATTGACAATCTAAATTCTAAATCATCGTCAGAGGAAGAAGAAAGTGATAAAGATAAAAAAATAACAAACTTAAGTGATCAGAGTGATTCTGAATCTGAATCATCTTCGTCAGAGGAAGAAGAAAATGTCAAAAAAATAACGAGTTTAAATGATCAGAGTGAATCTGAATCTGAATCATCGTCAAAGGAAGAAGAAAATGTCAAAAAAATAACGAGCTTAAATGATCAAAGTGAATCTGAATCATCTTCGTCAGAGGAAGAAAATGGCAAAACGAGCTTAAATGATCAGAGTGATTCTGAATCTGAATCATCTTCGTCAGATGAAGAAGAAAATGGCAAAGATAAAAAAATAACGAGCTTAAATGATCAGAGTGAATCTGAATCTGAATCATCTTCGTCAGAGGAAGAAAATGCCAAAGCGAGCTTAAATGATCAGAGTGGTTCTGAATCTGAATCATCTTCGTCAGAGGAAGAAAATGGCAAAGATAAAAAAATAACGAGCTTAAATGATCAGAATGATTCTGAATCTGAATCATCTTCGTCAGAGGAAGAAGAAAATGGCAAAGATAAAAAAATAACGAGCTTAAATGGTCAGAGCGTTGCACAATCATCTACTTCAAAAGAAAGTGAAAAAAAAAGGTTAGATGACCCGAATGATACCGAATCATCTAAATCCAAAAAAATATTAATAAGATGTATTTAATTCTTCAAATAGCATACAAACGAGCAAAAAAAGGAAAAGTTTAGATGACTCTTCTGATAGTAATAATCAATGTCAATCATCACCTACAAAAAAGATAAATTCAATTTCAAGGTATTTCATAAATATTTGTTTCAATTGAAGTTCTGTATTGATAATTAATATAATTATTTGTTTATTAGTCCTGCTTCTATAAAACAAACTAGTGAATTCTTTATCCCACCATCTGTTCAGAAAAAACAAATGAATAAAGTAAAGACCATGAATGTTAATAAATTATTCTTTTTTCTATTATTTTATTTAATATTATAATGATCTAATATCTAACTCATTTATAACTCATTTATCCAACTCATTTACAACGGCATTGAATAGCCAGGGAAAGCTCAGAATGGGTTTTATCAACCTCGTATAAATGTAAATGAAGTTAAATTTCATAATGAAAAGTTGAAAGACAATAGCTTTTTAGCAAAGGTAATGATGATTTATATTCTTTAAGTATATATTTATATTATTTGTTTTAATTTATTTAATTCATTTATTGATTTTATCGGTTGCCAATTAATTTTAGGGTGGAGCTGCTGGATCATATGGTCATAAAGCATATAACGATTTTGCAGCCACTAGGGGTAAAGATTTCCGTGCTCAGAAAACGAAAAAGAAACGTGGTTCATACCGTGGTGGTAAAATTGACTTACAATCACATTCAATAAAATTTGAAGATTAAGTACGTCTTATATATATTTTATATATTTTTTGAACATTTTCATTTCTCAAAATTTGATTTTAATAACTTTTATTCTTTAATTTCCTACAGCTTTGACCTCATAGTTATATACTTCATTTCATTCTCAAAAATTTTAGTAAATAGCTTCAAGCTAATGAAGGAATGATGAATAAAAATTTAAGCTAAAAAGCTTTTACTATACAATATATATCTACGAATACATGAAAATTTTTTTTAAATTTGCTGCACAATAATAATAATAATATATAAAAAAGTTCCCATCGAGTCGATCCGATCATCGTGTTTATCATGTTTACTACGTTATTAAAATCTCGGTGTTTAAAACAATCAACTATTTTACAATAGTATATATTACTTATAAAGCAAAATTGGGTCACGCAAGGTCGAAAGACGGAAAACAGTTTCATGGACGGCAACTTGTGCCCAGCCATATGACTCGGACGATATTTTCTTAGCCTGTTACTGATAATAAACAGGATAATAATAATAAACGCCATTATCTAGTACCGCATTTGCTACTGGTGGATGTGGTATATATGATGCTTTATCGTTACCATCCTTGGTTTCAACCGGCGGATAATAATAATAAGGTTGATGGTACATATTTGGATCATAATAATAAACCATTCCATTACTCTCAAATTGTGTTGCTGGTGGGGCCACAGCTATTCCAGAATTATTTTCCATTAAATTATTATTTCTTGGTGGCATCACCGGAACCCTATTTGGAGTATAATATCTAACTGGTGTATCCATTGGTTGTTGAGGTGGAAGATTATCTTCCTCGGTCCCAACGTCTTTATCGTCCGAAAGGGTCATCGATCCGGGTTTGAATGGAGCTGCGTAGATCGCTAATATATTGACATTTATACACATACAACATATGCACAACACATTTACCATTAATAATCATTTCAATTTATAATATGTACCGACATTAATCAAATATAATTTTGTTACAATAGTTATTGACACAATTATAGTTTGAATTTCGACTAATGTCGACTTGTTGACCAAAAAAAGGATATTAATTTCATTTAGCACAAACCTGATGCCGGAATTTCACTAGTGGCTCGAGAAGGGCCAATTCCGCTTCCTACTACCTCTTGTTCAGTTGTTTGTGTAGTCGGTGTAGTAGCAACTCTTCTTGTCGAGTATCGTTTAGATGATTGAGTAGGTTGCGAGCGTTCCTTTTCTTGATCATCCGTTAATGGTGATGTCGGAGATTCTTTACTTGAAGGCGACTGTCCATTCTCAGACCGACCTTCAGATTTCACTGTTGTACCGTTGGATTCTGTACTATTGTTCATCTGAGAATTATATTGTGATGATTGTGATGTTGATTCTACTGTAGTTTCTACTCCTTTCTGCTTAAAGTCCGATCGGTCCTCCTTGACAAAAGGTTTTTGAGTTGGTGTATTAATATTATTCAGGGGTTTTACTTTATTATTGGTTGGCACGACTCTCGATGGCAAAGGCCTTCTTCCAGAAGATAAATTTGACATCCGATTTTGATTAATTTTAAATGATGGGATATTGTTACGTATAACCGGTCGGTGGCGATATATCTTTGGCTAAATATGAATTTTAAGATTTTTATTGTTTCAGGTTGTCAAGATTTACTTGAAAAGAAAAAAAAAAAAACATACCCGAGGTCTAAAACCACGACGTTGTTGAAATCTGCGTTGAAACTCTTTCCTATGCCGTTCTTCTTCTTCCATTTTCATTAACTCTTCAAAACCATCATGATCCCATCGACCTCTGGGCTCATTAACTCCCCAAACTACTCTACCTCTGTAATTTAATATAAAATTAAGCTATATAAATGATGTTTACATACTAACAAAATATAAATATTATATTAGCAATTACTTGGGTGCAAAAGGTAAATTTCTCGGACGGTGCTCAAAATCATTTTTTAATTCGTCTCTTATGAACCGATCATCATGTCCCCAAAATTCTCCAAGATGAGGTACGAATGCTGGATCTTCTGCAAGTTTTTTACGATATTCTTGCCTTGCTAGCAATTTCTTTTGCCAGCCTGTCAATACCTTTGGTTTATTATTATTATCATCATCCAATAAATCTGGATCATCCGGTTTATCACTTTCTTCGTCGGTTAGGCTTTCGGCTAATTCTTCAGGTGAACTACTCTCATGACTAATTTCTTTAGCCGTTGAATCGTTTTCGGCTTTTTGCTTGTCTTCCAAGTGCGCTGTCCTTTTTATCTCGGAAGAAGAATTTAAAATATCTGACTTGATCTGACTTGTTGCATTTTCCTCATTCGAGGTTAAAGTTGTTTTTTCAACTAAGCTGCTAATCTCTTCTATTACAGAAGAAGTTTCCTCTTCTTTAATAGAGCTCTGCTCTTCTGTAATCGAGCTTTCCTCTCCTCTAATAGAATTTTGTTCCTCCGTGATCGAGCTTGTGGTCTCTTTATTAATTTCTTCCTCGCCGTCACTGTGTGAATTTTCACTTTCAATGTCCGAATCTTCGCAACTTGCCTCCGAACCAGATAGATCACTGAGCTCGAGTTCCTCTCTGGTAACATCGAATTCGTCTTCGTCTTCGCTATGAACATCAACAGGGACTACACGTCTTCTTCTAACTTTATGCATTATAGCTAATGATTTTTTTTTAGACTAAAATATTGTTTTTCGCGTAAAAAAAGCTTTGTCAATTAAAAAATATTTTGGTATCGTCTTAGCAAAAAAGCATGCGTCATTGTGTACCCTACGTGTTTGGAATAAATGTTAATACAACGCCGTCATCTGACATTTACATACAGGGTATCGATATGGAAAGTATATAGAAGACTTTAACTATCTGCGGCCTTTTAGATTTATTTTTAACACAAAGAATTCTTATTAATGTAATCAGTTTTCTGAATTTTATATGGAATACGTAGAAACTTCGAAATTTACTACCGTTTTGAAACAAAATTTTATACTAATAAAGTATTAGAATTGCTATTTAAACAAATCATTATGGGCTTTTGTAACATCCTGTATGTGGTTCAATTTTGGACGTGTAATTTGGATTTAGTCGTTAAAATGCATGCTTGATTATCATGTAATCAACTAATCAGCGAACGCACAGATTTCGTGTCAAACACTGTCATATCAGATATTATTAGCCGTAACTATTAATAATAGTTTAGCTTCAAGATATTAATTTTAATTCAAATATTTTTGCTTTTATATAATATTGTACGTACGTATAATCTTTTTTCACAATATATATCTGATATATATTTATTAGAAAGCAATTTTCAAAAATTTGTAAAATGGGCTGTTTACTATGTAACACACATATATCGAAACTTTCATTATAATTAAAGCAAATATAATAATAATACGATATTCAAAGTAGTTAAAAATCATTCACTAGGTGGTGGAAAAAATGGCCATGTTTATTTAAAAATATTTGTAAATCAATTCACTTAAAAGATTCTAGTGTTATAACTGAAATATTGTCTTTTGTGATGGTATAAAATGATCTTTTTTTTTAAAAAAAAAAAAAAAAATTATCAAAAATTATCAATTCATCTATTATAGATACATTATCAAAAGTGGCTTTTTACAATAATTTAATGATACGTATTAAAAAAATACTACGTATAATTATAAGTGCACATAATTTACATAATTTGATCGGTCTAATGTAATTATTTAATATTATTGTTATATGTAGATTATGCTTCATAAATGAATATTCTACGTATAAATGTACTTTTACCAAAAACGTGCAGTTAAGAAAGGTTTACTATATTGGATTTAGAAAATAATTTATAATTTTAATTTTAATTTAAAATTTCATTATTATTTATTAATCCTAATATTGTTTCAATGATTTTCCCTACCCTATTTTCCATATCGTCCTCACCATAAACAACAACCAATTGCTTTGATAGCTGGAAGATAAGGTTTCTATCATTGCCCAAAGTACATTTTAAGAAAAACCATTTCTCGGAATCAGTGATGATTCTGAGAATGGTTTTTCTTCCAACCATTTCTCGGAATCAGTAATGATTCTGAGAATGGTTTTTCTTCCATTCCTCACACAATGTTCTGTGCAATGCCTTGTAAATAATCTGTTGCTTTACTTTGAAAATAACTTGAGAATATTTTGAAATTCTAAATCATTAGATGGAATATACAGTCTTCCCTCTCTATAATCACACTGTCGGGATCATAGTAACTTTTTTTAAAAAATATGCTTATACAGTATTGTGCTTATATAGAGGTTTTTTTTCTATATGTTTATAATAGTTGGTTTTAAAATAAATGTGCTTATAAAGAGGTTTTTATATGATGTGCTTATATAGGGGGTGACTATAAAGGGGGAAGACTGTACTTATGACTACATATTGCATGTAATAATGAGTAATACACCACTCCTTTTAAATTCCAGTAATTGATATTTGGCAATTATAGATTCCTAAAGTTGCTTTGTTTATGTTTGCAAGTCATTTGAATGCTTAGTTCATTTAAGAATTACTTTATATCAAATTCTAAGTTAAAAAACTTGGTTAGTATATAATTCTAACTCATAATCATGTAAAAAAAAAGTGTAGTTACTAAAAACTATCTTGGTGGGTATAGTATTTTTTTTTTTTAGCAAATCTTTTACTTTCACCAAAGCTTCACTTTTGCCTATTTTGATTTGAGTTTTATTTTTTATTAGTTTTAGGTTTCATCTTTCGTTATTATGTGAAGAAGGTTTTGTCTAGAGATGTTAAGCATTCCAAAAGAACTTAAGTTCCAGACCAGTTTTTAAGTAGTTAGTTCAGCCTTTGTTTGGGACTTCAGTTCAAAACTTAAATTAGAAAAGAATTAAGTCTCAAACTAGTTTATAGCTCCTAATTTGGCAAATGGTTTTTGTTTAATTATTTTATAGGGATATTAAGCATTCTAAAAAAATTTAAGTTCAAGACCATTTATTGAGATTTTTAAATAGTTAGTTCAGGGACTTTAGTTCAAAGCTTAAATTAAAAAAGAATTAGTCTTAAACTAGTTTATAGCTCTTAATTTGGCAATCGGTTTTTGTTTAATTGTTTTACCATATTATTTTAAAATATCACCTAGGTGTAGATTAAAAATTTTGGCCTATATTAAGCTTAATTTGGCCAAAATTTTAATCTACACCCAGGGTGATTTTAAAATAAAAGTTATTATTTCTTATATAAAGTCCGCACTTCACTTTAATCATATAATTACTAATTAGAAAACAAAATTTAAAAAATAATAAAATGATTTAATAATAAAGCAATGAAAAAAAATAGTACATTAGTTTTTATTTAACTTCGCTTTAATCATATAATTACTAATTAGAAAGCAAAATTTGAAAAATAATAAAACGATTTAATAATAATGCAATGAAAAAAATAGTATATTAGTTTTTATTTAACTTCGTTTTAATCATATAATTACTAATTAGAAAGCGAAATTTGAAAAATAATAAACCGATTTAATAATAAAGCAATGAAAAAAAAATAGTACATTAGTTTTTATTTAAAAGGATATTTTTTACTTTTGAATATTGAATTTTTTGCAATTACAAATATTAAAATTTTGCAATTATGAGTAATTTTAATGATACCAAAATCATCAAAATACAAGATTCTTCACAAGATTCTCTATATAGTGAAATTTGTGATTTTTTACAAAAAGAATTAAAAATAGATTCTTTATCTGTAGAATCATTATTTGATAATTCATTAAATAAAAAACGTAAAAAACCTCATCCTTTGTACCATTATCTTGAACCAAGTGATAGTGGTCTTTTTGTTTGCTATAAACAGTATTTAGTGTAATGGCAAAAATCAACAGGAATTAGTACAATTAAATCACATTTTAAAAAATTTCATACTGATATTTATAATCAATTAGAGTTAGATATTAAAAAAACCAAACCAGTTCAACCCTATAGAATAAATAATGAATTAAAAGTTAAATGTATTACTTATCTTCTTATAAAATGGATTATCTGTAATCAACAATCTTTTATAGTCATCAAAGATTCTAGTTTTGTTGAACTTATTGAAGAACTTGATAAACGATATCGATTACTATCTTGTCAAACTATATCTATTCAAATTGAAGCAATTTATCAAAAACAACAATTATTACTAAAAGATTTTTTAAAATCGACAAAAAAATTAGCTATTACAACCGATTTATGGACTGCTTGCAATAATAGTAATTATTTATCCATAACACTTCATTGGATTGATAATAATTGGAGTGCACAAAAATTGCTTCTCAATCTCATTCCTATTAAAGATGAACATACGGGATTAAATATTTCAAATATAGTATTAGAAATGGTTGTATATCAGAATCCCGACACACAAAATCCTGACACACAAAATCCCGGCAACAAAATCCCAATACACAAAATCCTGACAAATTAAATTCCTAATTTTAATATTTTTAGGATTTTAATTTGTCAGGATTTTGTGTATTGGGATTTTGTTGACGTGATTTTGTGTGTCGGGATTTTGTGTGTCGGGATTCTGATATACAACCATTAGAAATTATTAGCTTTTATGGAATTGGAGAAAAAATAATTGCTGCAACAACTGATAATGGATCTAACATGATCACTTTTGCTACTCACTTACAACAAAGCCTTAAAGAGAAATTTAATAATATCGATTTTAAACACTATCATTGTGCTGCTCATACTTTAAACTTAATTGTTGCAGATGGATTAAAACTTGTTGATGCTTCTATTATAAAAGCAAGATCCTTCGCATCTACTATACGTAATTCGCAACTAATTTTTAGAGAATTAAAAGATATATTTAAAATAAAAAATAAAAAATTTCTTATACCTGATCTAGATGTTCTAACCCATTAGAACAGCACCTTTCTAATAATTGAAAAATTAAAAAAAATTAAAAATATGACAGATATTCTTGTTGCATCAAATAATTCTTTAAAATCAAATTATCCAACTGAATTAGAATGGTCAGAAATTAATATATGATTTGTTTTTTTTTTTTGTTTTTTTGTTTTTTTTTTTTTAAGATATGAACTTGTATTCTTTGATATATGGTTTTTATTTATTATTATTTTTTTTTTTAAATACAATTGTAGAAAATCTATAATCTCCTTAACCCTATTTACCAAGCAACTTTAATGTTTTCATCATCAAGCCATCCAACCTTAGGAGATCTTTATTTAATATTTACCACAATTAATAGATCTCTTGAAGAAATTATAAATAATACGATTGAAGAAACTACACCAAAACTCATCACTATAGCTATGTCAATCAAACTTGACGAGTATTGGCAAAAATTAGATCAATCATCCTTTATGATTGCTCTACTTGATCCAAACATTAAGCTTTCCTTATATGACTTAGGAAAACAACATAAAGCTCAACAATATATAGAAAATCTTTATTCAAAATATATTATCTCTAATGCTAGTTCATTATTTCAAACAGATACCTTAAAATTAACTTCATGTGATTATTTTAAAAAAGCATTTAGAGGTCCATTTAATTCTCCTGGTATAACAAGTGAATTACGAAATTATTAGAAGTTGATTGTGAAGTATTATCATAGTGGAAAGCTCATACAAATAATCAAAATTACAAAAATATAGCAAAAATGGCTCAAGACTACCTGTACATACAAGCTACTAGTATATCAAGTGAGCAGGTATTCTCTGTTGCTAAACATACTATAAATCTCTTATATAACCATTTAGATTCAGAAAAAGCATGGACAACTCTCTGCCTTAAAAGTAGATATGAATCTGGTATAATTAAAAAACTTGAATCTTAAAAATCTTAAAATTAGTTTAGTATTAGTATTTTTTTTTTTTTAACTTTACTTGGCTTAGCATTAGTGTATTTTTAAAGTTTGGAATATTCAATTGTTTTATTGATATAAAGATCTATTAAATTTCTAATCTAACACAAATTAATAAAAAGTTCGAAACAAAGTTTAAAACTCGAATATGATCTTCACATAATATTTTTGGAACTTGTATGTGACTTTCACATGATATTTTTTAAACTTTTTTTCGAACTGTTTCTGAACCTGAACTTTTATGAAACAGGACCAAACAGGACTAAACTGAACTTTTAATATCTCTAAATTAAATAAATAAACTGGCTTGTAAATATAACTATGATCACCTGACTTATCGTGTTTTTTGAATTTTATTGGCTAATAACTCAAAAATTACATAATTTGTATAATTTCTAATTTACCGAATATGCTATTTTTGACACATTCTGTGTTTATCCACCAATTCCATGATTCTGCTTCTGCGGCATTCCGTAAAATGCAGAAAATTATCGTCCCTGCCCAGGTGGTACCCACTCGGGTCCAATTATTTAAGATCATGTTCCTTTTGATGAGATTATTTTTCTGAGAATATTTCCTAATTTGCAATACGTTTATTTTTTTTTTATTTTTAGATCATGTTCCTGGGAATATTTCCTAATTTGCAACGTGTTTATCTTTTTTTTTATTTTTAGATCATGTTTCTGGAAAAATTTCTTTAATTTGCAACGTGTTCATCCTTTTTTTTTTATTTTTAGATTATGTTTCTGGGAAAATTTTCTAATTTGCAACGTATTTATCTTTTTTTTTCTGATGAGATATTCCTGGGAAAAATTTGCACGCGCTCACCCCTTTTTTTCATCTTTTTAATTTGTAACACGTTTGTCTTTTTTTACAAATCATGACAAAACATGCCAATTAAAAAAAATATATAAAGGTTACTTTTTTTTCATCTATTTTTTTTATTTTCACATTCTCATATTTTAATATAATTTTTACTTTATACACTCTATTTTTTGCCGTATCTTTGCCATATCTCTTTGCCGTATCTTTTTGCTATATCTCTTTGCCATATTTTTGTTTATCTTTTCACCATTTATCTTTTCGCCGTATTTTCGATAGTATTTTTACGATTTAACAGATAAGTAATTGATCTCACATTAATATATTAATATAATCTGGACAGTTCCGAGGAGGCTCAGTTACATCGACAGTAGTAGAATTGGTAATACACATGATTATCGACAGGGAAGGTGAAGAATGTTTTTATATTCTTGGAATCGTTCTCACTATCACGTGTTGACATACTGTATCCTGAGTATACAAGGTCTTTTCAATTACTTACCCTACTCGTTTTTACTAGGTTGAAAGTTTATTGATTGAAGAAATTTAATCGCCTTGAAGTTTATCGACTAAAGAAATCTTTTTATCTTGGTATTAATAATATAGTTATTAAATTTCGATGTATTTTATTAATTTATAAAATAAATCAGGGTTGGCATGGACCGGTCAATAGTCAAGCTTGACCAGACCAGTTTGACCAATTTGACCAGACCAGGTTGATCAATGAATTTTTGGTCGACCAGTAATTTGATCAACCCTGAAAATAAAGTTATTATTAAATATTATTTGTAACTATAATATATTGTAACTATTGATTATTAGTATAATAAAATAAATTTGTAATCCTATTTAATAATAAAGTTAGCGATTTTTTTTAAATAAATTTTTATATCGACTTTGAATTATTAAGTGAATTATTAAGTGAATGTAAAAAATATATAACTAGTATATAGTTGTATATAGTCAGTTATTTTCGTTAAATATAAAAGTAATATCAGATAAACTATTATTCAAACTAGTATTGAAATATGCCTGTTACGATATATATTTATCTCCCGCACGTATAGTTTCAAGATTTTGGTAATTGTTAGAGAATTCAGTTTTTCTTAATCACGTTTGGTTATATTAGGTAAATTATTTATTAACTTTATATTTTCTGTTACTAATTTTATTTTTATAAATTCTATCGTTTTCAAACCTTGATTCGATTTTCAAGTTCCGTCATCGATTTGAATTCATATAACCTTTTTGCGATATTTTTCTACTTTATTATCAATCATATTTTTTTTTATCTAAATCGTTTTTTTATTTCATTTTATTATATGTGCATATTGTAAACAATATAACACTTTAGAAACTTGGTGTCGAGAAGAGATAAACAAGTAGAAATGAGAGTATCGCTAATTACATCAAGGGGCTTCAACAATTTAATTGAATAGATTCCTTTTGATAGATTAGATAATATCAGGGTGATTGGTGAAGAGTTTTTAGCAACCTGGCTAGATGGTATACAAATGATTTTAAAAAATATAAACCATCGTCTACATCATATGATATGCACTTCATATCAGTTACATGATCACATACTGTACGTTTAACACCATATATACTTGATTCACAGGACTTATTTGAATTAAAGTGAGTTAAAATTTAATTTTATTATTTATTATGTATATTTGATCTTACACTTATATATTTTGAGTTTAAAAGTTGCATACGGATATACGGGATTACTAAAAACACTTCCACAAATGAATATATCTTGATACTTAAAGAACCTAGCTTTACAAATACAGTATAGAATATGTACAAATTGTAAACAACACAATACTTCAAAAGCCTGGTATCAGAAATGTGATTATCCAAAAATAATTCAAGGATGGACAAGTGGGAATTAAGGGTGTTGATGATTCTATTAAAACTATAAAATATGACAAAATTATTGAATGGATTCTTTTTGATAGATTATAATGTATTAAAAAAAGTTGGTATAGGGGAATTTAGTTCAATTTTTTTAGCAAAATGGTTAATTTGCAAAAGGTTAATTTCAAGTTATGATTATGGATATTCACAAAGCCATGTTTTACCATACATAGTTGTTCTCAAGATGTTGCATAGTTCTAGAGAAAACCTTTTAAAAAGAAGTAAGTTAAGACTATTTACTTATGACCTAACATAAATGATTCTTATTAATATATATTTTATTTACATAGCGAATTTAAAAATTATATGCATTATATGTTAGAAGTAATGGGTTTAGTGGGTTAGAGATATATGGACTAACACAAAACACAATAACTAATGAATATTTGATAGTATTTCAATAGGCTAATAAAGAAAATCTTTGTAATTTTTTAAGAGCAAATTTTCAAATACACAATTTGCTGATATATCCAAAGAATTAGCACAAACTCAGATTTGTTTATTGCGATCTTCATAGTAGCAACAATTATATCATCAACCTACTAGTGGATATCCAAATTTGAAATCTTTCAAAGAAAATTTGGTGTTTATGAAGTCTTGCCATATATTGCACCAGAGGTTTTTAAAAAATGGAAATTTTATACAAGCAGCTGATATATACAGTTTTGATGTTATTATGGCTAAAGTGTCAATCAGACTAGGGTCTTTTGATGAAATTCTATTTGAACTTAGTCTTGTAATAAGAATTTGTAATGGAGAACGCCCAAAGTTTGCTCCTGAACCCATTTTACTATGTTGAATTAGCAAAAAGATACATGGATTTAAATTCATTGGAACAACTTACTGCTAACGAAGTTTATTCTACAGTATGATCACAAATTGGATCATTGATGATAAAATTAAAAAACAATTCTTACAAGCAGATGAAATAATCAAACATTAACAGTCGATTCATCAAAACATCCAGATTCTATGTATGCTAGCAAATTATCAAACACGTGAGAATATTATATAGCGATTAAATCTCAATATACTGTATCGGTATATATGTTGTGTCTCAGATGCTTCTTTGCGTCAGATCTAATCCGATGCATGTCAGATGCTGATTTTCAGGTGACACATATCACCTGTCGATCGGTCATCTGTTGTGCGTAAGATTTAATCTGACGCACATAAGTTGTAATCTAACGCAGTTAAAACACATAATACTCCAGATAACTTATTTTTTATACAGTTTAAAGTACTTTTTGAGAATGTAACATTTCACTAATAAAAAATTACCATAAAGGCTATTTCTAGCTTCAAAAGAATGCCTATAGTTACTATAGTTATTGTGCAAAATAAACAATATTCTCAAGAACTTCAAGTATTTCGCTATTTTATTACTATTACTATATATTAACTATATACAAGTACTAAATGCGAAAAAATAGTCAAAAAAAAAAGAACGATCAAGACATTTAAGGTAAATTTAGATTTGAAAAAAAAACTCTTACAATCTAACTTATTGTATTTAAGTTTAAACTACTTCTTTTAATAATTCTAATACTTATTTATATTACTTTAGTATTTAGTAGATTTAATATGGCTTTACAATAGTATTGATACTGTAGAAACGTGTAATATTAATTAATAATATAAATGAAAAATAGTGGTGCAATGACTGTAATAACTGAAAAATAAGATTATTTAAGAATTTATATAAATAAATAATGAAATTTCTTGAAAGTTTTTCTTTGACTAGAAAATTTTATTAAGTAGAATATTGCCTAATTGATAATATATATATTTTAAAGGTAGTAAGTGTCTTTAACAACTCTAACAAAGACAGTAATAATTAAAATATGATTTCTTTTTTTTTTTAATGTTAAAGGTGAGACCTTGCTCTTATCTTTATTAAATTTAACAAAAACTCTTTATATAGTCAAAAAAAAGTTTTTCATTTAAATCTAAAACTAAGAAAAAGAACTTAGACATATA